GGTCCCGCGCTGTTCCGCTGTTCCTGTGTGACTCTATTCCGCGACTATTCCTGCATTCCACTGTTATACAATATTTCATTTTATAATAATTTTTATATAAATGTATGCAAGGAACTTCGTTTTCTTTTCTTACATGTATTTAAATACATGTACTTTTCTTTTACAGCTTATTCTATATATATATTTATTTCCCAACACTGAAGACCATTAAGGTCCTAACAGTACAAAAAAGAAATTTTTAATTGTAAATTTTAAACAATAAAAAATGAAAATAGCATAATAAAAAAGTAATCAGTATGTCGTAACACGGCCTGTCCAGCTAACTGGAATTCCGTAACGTTTTTTTGGTGATTTTGTTCAATCTGCAGAAATTTTTCAAAAAGTTAGAACTCGAAAGTGAATGAGCCATTTTGTAGACAATTCAATCCTCTATCGACTGACCTACTTCTGAAAAGTTTTAGCGAAAATCTCTTGGTTAGGAAATTGAAAACAATGAGAGCTGCTTTACTAAATTTATAAAAAAGATATGCAAAAAGTACCCCTCATTGTTTTCAATTTCCTAACCAAGAGATTTTCGCTAAAACTTTTCAGAAGCAGGTCAATCGATAGAGAATTGAATTGTCTACAAAACGGCTCATTCACTTTTGAGTTCTAACTTTTTGAAAAATTTCTGCAGATTGAACAAAATCACCAAAAAAACGTTACGGAATTCCATACGCAGTAGAGTTAGCTGGACAGACCGAACAGTTAATCGTTTATCCTCGTTCTGTTTTTACAACCTAGTAACTACAAGTATATAACTATAAAAAATACAGAAGATATAAATAAATAATGAGTATTTACAAGAACACTTAATGTTATAAAAAAAGAAAAGAAAAAAATATAACATTAGAAGGTTTCAAGGAATTCACATAATAATCTCACATCGTTAATATTAAAACTTGGAACCGAGTCATTTGAGGCGTTGTCCGCACACCAAAGCACACATTTCTTGAGAACAGACTGGCGAGCCACACATCTTTTTGATATATGTAGACATTTAATTGCTTGTTCCTTAGAAAGCCAAGAACTTCTGTGAATACCTCAACAATGATAAGACAAATGGGAACAACGACGTTAGTAACTTCGGAATTACTCGTGTTTAAAAGCTTGTAAAAGTAGCATAATAAAATGAGCTCAGGCATGTATAAATCGTAGCGTCCCAAATGCGGCAGAAATTTAAGCCAATTAGTATAAAAGTGGGCGCAATTTGGAACGAGTAAATTTATATTATTCTGCGTTTCCAAATTGCGGCCACTTTTTAATTAGTGAGTAGTCAACAATCGTAATTTAAAATATAGATATATAAATTAGTCGGTTTTTAGAAAACATAGAAGTAGAAACATATATAAGAAGAATTGATGACTATATATTTATGTATTATATATGCGCAGCTATGAAAAACAGCTATATCAATAAAGAATTTAATCTTCGTCACTACTATCTCCGGCATCTTTTATAACATCTATATACCGATGAGAAAGAGCTCTCAAAACCTTTTGATAACTATCAAAGTCTTTATCTTCAATATCTTTTGTTTTTGCTAATTTAAGCTTCACACCATCACGTATGTTTTTCGTTTTTCTTGGCCTTGTTGTACGTTTTTGAGCTTGTTCTTGTTCATAGCGGCACATAACAGATTCTTTAGATGAACGAACTTCATTAATCCATGTCCAGAGATCCGGATTCGTTCGCACGCGTGCATTTAGTTGTCTATGATACCCTTCTAAGTGATTATTTGTACGCGGCCGTTCACCAACTGAATCAAAATGATTCCACATATCAAACGAAAAACGAGCATCTTCAATATAATTATTTAAAATATAGTCTGTTAATTTACCAAATTTTGAATTAGCATTACATAGTTCATCAATCATTACTTCCATATAGATCAGCCTTGCCCTAAATTTTTGCAGAAATCTTTCTTTCCCAAAAATGGTTCTTAGACATATTAGTCAAGGCAGTTTTTCGCGCGGAATCCGAATATATATAAAATATTAAAATAAAGTAACATATAAGAGTAGAAAAGTCCAAATTACCTCAAAAACAAAGAGTTTTTAGAAAACCTGTAACTATCGGCAGAAAAAGTTGTGAGATTTTGTGAGTATACTACAGATACAGGATATACTAAGGAACAATCTGGTAAAAAAATAAGTAAGATTGCACCTCCGCTAACTCGTGCGTTTTGATTATACTGTACACGTCTGTTTTCCTAGCGTTTTCCTTGTATTACCGTGTTTTCCTTCGCGAATAAGGAGAGATTTATTTACATAATTAAATAAAAAGTCGATAACGCATATATTTGAATGTGAGACAAATATTAACTTGACAAAAAGTGATTATTGAATAAGACCGTATGAAAGTTTCTGTGAATAGACCATCTTTTTTGTTTTGCACTTAAACTAAATTTGGAGTAAAATAAATTAAGGAGGAACAATCAACTTAGAAGCACTTTTTTTCCAAAACAAGGTGATATTCGAGCTCAGGGTGAAAAACTGGATCAAATGATGTACGAGTCAAAGACTTTGTGCAGGTATATTTTGATTTTTTCAAAATCTGCCTCTGAAAAGCCTTAGTGATGAAAATTTTTATTGAGCTTTTAAAAATGCATTTTAACTGCAACCGAGGCGTCTATAAAAATCTTTCGTATAGATTTTTGTGTGCTCTAATTCCAAAAAAGGGCTTTTGAAAGTTCCAAAATAGTCTTTGCGACAGTTTCTAGAGATCCGGCCTCCAGATAAACCCTTAAAAATGATTTTTTAACTTTCGAAATCGCTTTTTTAGAAATAGCGCACCCGAAAACCTACAGGAAATTTTTTTTCTAGATTTCCGGAGTGCTTTCAGGCCATATGTCCACCTGCTCTAGCAGAAAGTGCCCACTGTGCGTACAGGATCTGTTGACACTGGAAAAAACTAAAGAGCGTTCGTGCTCCTAGGTCTTCTTCTTTGACTTATGACCATTTATTGGGTTGAAGGACCTATTACAAGGTATTTCCAACAAAAACTGACTACACAAATGTTCACCTAAAATTTTCCTTATTGATAGGTCCAATGATTCTATCTAAGGGCGGAAGATTTTAGTCAAAACGGATGGTTCCTTATCAAGATAATCAATTTTCAAGAAGATTCGCTTTCGTTGGTTATTTTGTAAAGTTGGGTTTTTCTTTAAATTCTATTTAGCATGTAGCGAGCATCCGTTTTGACTAAAACTTCAGCACATTCTAAGGATCATTAGACCTATGGACGGACAAAATTTTAGGTCAACATTCCTTTAGTCGGTTTTTGTTGAAAATACCTTGTACGAGTTATTTTTCTGGTTTTCTAAATCTGATGGGAACACTTGGATGCTAGCGATGGATTAGTGTTCATGCATGGGTTTGCTGTTAACAGACGTATAAGTCGATCGACTTCGCTCAACCCAGTAAAAGATCATAATCAAAGAAAAAGGGCCAGGGGCACGAATCCTTTTCAAGTTTTTGTAGTCTCCATAGCACAGTGTGCATTTTTCCATAGGTCAGGCGGACATTTGCTATAGGAGCAGTCTGAAAGTCTATAAACGCTTTTTTTATAGGTTTTCGGATATGCTCTTTCCAATGGTGTGCTTTACCAAGTTCAAAGAGACTTTTATCCGGGTTCTCCAGGGGCGGGATCTCTAGAAAACCCACACATAAGTACTCTGGAATTTTTTAAAGCGTACCATTGGAAAGAGCATATCTGAAAACCTATAAAAAAAGTGTTTATAGACTTTCCGACTGCTTCTATAGCAAATATCAAAATCCTTAGTCAAAATCATCATGCTATGCTTCGACTTTAGCGTTTCGTTAGATTCAAGAAGTTTTTGCTTAGAAAAGCCTCCTAATCGCACATCATTCGATGCAGGTTCTCGCGTTGAATCCGAGTCTGCTATTCCTTTTATCATAACTAGCTCCGTGGCCGAAATAATTAAAGAAAAACCCGTCAGCCTGAAAAACCAATGTTTTTGGAAAACCCACTACTCCTCGTCCAAGCATTTATGCTAATTTATGCTAACACCATATACGTGCCACATATGGTTGAACATTCCCTAAAAGTTTCAGAATATTTCGAGACTGGATGTGAGTGGGGAGGTCGATTTTGCTGAACCCACCTCCAGGAAAACTTACCTGCGAAAATGTCTCGGCTAACTTTTCGTGAAGGAAAGGTTCAAAATCAAAAAGATTTTTTAACAATCGATAGCCCGCGCTGTCGAGATTCTTATTATATCATCTGTTAATTTGTAAACACTTCCTACAGTTTTAATTGAAGTTTGTTTTGTAACGGTAGTTTTCAAATAAATTTTTGCCGATGACTTTTTTACCGAATAAAAACAACCATGGAAAAAACTTTTTTTACCGTTAGATAGAGCACATTGAACCGGATATCATATTCGGAATGTGCATGAGAAATGGAACCAAATGGCATATACCTCATGTGTTTTCCATTATTATGACTTACCAGCAAAAGATTCGCCTCAAGAAAATAAAAAACTTAATTTCTCTATGTTGCACTGTTACCTGTCGGTTTTCGCTTAAACTGTCAGAATAAGTCACCGCAAGTGATAACCAGTTCAGAAAACTAAGTTTTTATATTCGTATCGGTTGTGGATAATATTGTTCCATTGTTGAGAAAATTAATTTTTTTGAAACGGGTAGCAAAAAATAAGAAAGTACACTCATATTTTGCAGCTTTTCCCTCAAACTTCCATTTTTTTTGCAAAACCAATGCCATACTTAGAATTAGCATCAAAAAGTGGGTCGGTTGATGGCTGTTTCAGGTTTTTTTTGGACAACTTTTGATTTTTTCGAATTTACACAAGAATGAAAAATTTAGATGTCGTAAACACAGTGAAGATGAATCAAAAAATAAATAAATCATCACAGCCACAACAAAATATATTTTTAGTGTTCATTACAGTTGGATTGATTTCGAAATCTGTCGGTCCAACGTCAGTTCTAACCTCTTAATTATAGCAGTGATGTGTCGCTTGGCGTCAGCCTATCCTGAATCTGGTACGAAGGGAGATAACCTACAGTTTCTATTCATTCAAAAATAAAGAACTACAAGAAATTTTCTATAACCTAAATCTATCCTGACTTACTACCTTTGTAACCTAATCCTGACTTAGCCTACAACTTCAGCAACCTAAACCTGCCCTAACCTATAGGTTAGGTTAGGTTAGGTTAGGTTTAGGTTAACCTGCAGGACTCTAATATGACATTCGAATGACACAATAACAATGCTTTTAGATTCAGTTTTTCATGTAGAATAAAATTTTTAAAAATTATCAGAGATCATTGAAATACAGACTTTCCCTTGTTTCTAAAAAGTAGGCTATTTTTAAGGATTTTAAAAGTTTTAATTTGTTAAAATTTTTGTCCTTAAAAAAACTTTTTCAAAGACTAAAAGACACATATTCTTACTCAATTCGACGAGCTCTATCCGACAATGTATAAATATCACAAAAATAAACTGCGCTTAAATTTTGAATTTCTCACACCTTACTACGACAAAAGAAAAAGTTTTGTGTGCATTGAACATTCACTTTGCCTGCTGAAATATCTCAGTTGCCAATCTCAGTTTTGTGAGATTTTAATCTCCAAGATTCTTTTTCTGCTACTGGCATACTCAGTCTTGTAAAAGTAATTTTCTTATTATATATTACCTGTTACAAAGTAATTACTACGCCGACAGTGACAAAATAGATCGCACTTTTTTAATTACAACCTGTGTAAAGCTACGTTATTATCCACATTCTAAAGCAAAATGAATTCGTTGGGTGCTATAAATATGTTGATTCCAACCTTATTCACTGTTCAACAATCGATTAGTCGCTATTTTCTCTTTCCTTCAATTGTGCTAAGTAATGTTGGCTGTTTGATGAACGCTTTGGTGTTTCTGTCATCACGATCTCTCAGGACAAATCCGTACTCCATGTATCTACTGGCATCGTCATGTTCCAACTTTTTGGCTCTCAACGTTGTCTGTCTGCCGTCTGCATTCGTATTGAGCTTCAATATTATCGATGCTACTAATTCGATTCTTACATTATGTCGATTAAAAGCTTATTCTGCACAAGTGTTTACAATGTTATCTCGCAGTTATTTGATTTCGGCATGCATCGATCGATATCTCCTGTCTTCAGCTTCTCCCTCACTTCGTCGTTTGAGCAGCATGTCAATTGTAGTTAGAGTGTGTCCTGGTAATATTATTTTTTGGTTGACAATCTCCATCCATGCGTCGTTATTTCCAGCAATAATTCAGGTCGATGCTTTGTTACTAATGATTATAGCATCTTCTTGAGTGTATACAGTTTCTGTCTAGTTGGACTATTAACACCGACAACAATGATCATTTTCGGCCTCCTTACCATGAATAATATTCGAAAGAGTCGTCAACGAATTGCACCTGTCGCAAACAGTACAATGTCAACTATTAATCGAGAATTAGTTCACATTATGTTATTTCATATACTCTATTTCCTCTGTTGTAATCTACCAACGCCCGTTTACTATCTATATGCAGCAATTACAGGTAATGTTACCGGAAAATCTCAACAGCGAATAGCATTTGAAAATTTTTTGTAATTTTGTTACAATATTCATGCTGCAGACAATCTATTTTTCGTATACATTTTACGTTTATTTGAGTTATTCAAAAAAATTCGACAACACTTCATAAGATTTTTTATGAGAAATAGACAAACAGGAGCAATGACGAATACTCGTGATGGTACACGAACACACAGAACGGTAATTGAACTTACTAGAACAAAACATGCACAAATCTGAATACAAGACAAAGTGTATAGTTTTATGATGATGGCAAAAACACAGTGGCTTTGAAAATAAGCGAATTAGTTTGTTTTAAA